GAAAAGACACAAAAAAACAAAAAAACAACAAAGAAACGCAACAAACAGCCCGAAAAAAATACTCCTCAAAAGAGAGAAAATAAAAACAAAAATACAAACGGTTCCTCCAGAAATCGAAAACCAATCTGTCTAGTAGGAGTCGCCGCGGAGGAGAGTCCAAGGAGGCGGGGCGAGGGGGTCCTGCGGGAGTCATGCACGGCTGACCCCCGAGCGACGGCTGGCGAAAATAAACGTAGGCACACACACTGGCCCGCCCCGCCCCGCCCACGGCTAGCCTGTAATCCCGCCCTGGACAATTGCTCTCATTAGCAAGATCTGCTATTTAACACCTCTTGTCATTTCTGCCACTCTCTCTTTCTCTTTCTCTCTCCCTCTCTTTTTCATTCTCTCTCTCCCTCTCTCCCTCTCTCTCTCTCTCTCTCTCTCTCTCTCTCTCTCTCTCTCTCTCTCTCTCTCTCTCTCTCACACACACACACACACACACATTTATGTCAGTGCGTGAGATTGTTCACACGTACATATTTAGAATAGCAGTGCTGTCTGCCTACCGAAGCATACTCCTCTTGACATCCCAAGGACGGCCCTGTTTCCGAGAGGAACCATCGCGCGAGCCATCACCGTAACATCGCGTCGAGGACTACCTGCCTACCTGCTACTTCCAGCCCCGCCTACCTTCCGCCGACGATGACACGCAGCGACACCTACACGTGGTATACGCTAATTATAATGCACAGGGAAGCATGAAAAATGTAGGAGGAACAAAACAGCCGCATGTGTCGTGGAACTCATTAGTTTTGCTCACGTGGCCAAGGCATTTATAGCGGGTTTCGCATAGCAGGGAATAGGTATGTGTTCTAGTTAGGTTTTGTAAACAGAATCGTGTGCGTGTGCGTGTGCGTATGTGTGTAATGGAGAACCCGCGGCTGACAAGAACAGATCTATGAGTCAGGGAGTGTGAGTAAGCATGTATGCGCATAAAGCATGAATCTGAGTGGTGCAATTAAGAGAATATTCCTCTTTTTTGGTACCACAGTAATACCAGAATGAGTCAAGGAAACTCTGAGAAACAGGAAGATGAGTAAGGGCAGAGAGGAACCACTCGAACAACTCTCCACTGAAGATGATATGAAGATGGGACATTTGTTGTATTCCAAGTGCTGAGAGGAAAAAAAACGTAGGGGGAAAAGAAAAACATAGAGGAGAAAAAGGGAAAAAAGGAGATAAGAGGGGGAAAATGAGAATAAGAAAACAAGAAGTGGGGAAAACATGAGAAAGGGAAGACAAAAAGAGGGGGAAATGGAGAAAAGACAAAATGAGGGGGTAAAGGGAAAAAGAAGACAAGGAGAGGGGAAAAAATGAGAAAAGAAAGACAAGAGAGAAAAAAATGAGACAAAGAAGGCAAGAAGAGGGAAAAATGGGGGAAAAAGTAAACAAGAAAGAGGAAAATAAGGAAAAGGAGAAGAAAACCAGGCGAATGAAAAACACCAACCCTCCCCTTCCCCTGCTCGAGACCAGGCGAGGGAACCGACGCTGACTCAGACGGCGGGACAATAAAGTCATCTTGAATTACACCAGTTTAGTTCTTGACCTACGCCCTCCATTTCTTCCCCTCGTGTTACACATTATTCTTAAATAAAAAGAGAGAAAGAGAGAAAAAGAAATTTATGCCTCCCATCCCCGACACACACAAGGGCGGTTGTGGCGAAGGTGACCCTTAACGCAGCAATATGAGCTGTTCAGGGTTGACCACAGAGTGCCCTTCCCCTCACTCTTGCGGCGACGCGACACTCCTTATGTGCCAAAACGCACTCCCCTCTCCATCCCTCTTCGAAGACAGGGGGAGGGGAAAGAGAGGGGAGAGGGAGGGGGAAGTGAGGAGAGAGGGAAGGGAGAGGGAGAGGAGAGGGAAGGGAAAGGGACGAGGAGGGAAAATCGAGCGTCCACGAGCGCGAAAAGCCGGTACGAAGTGTGCGAAATATGCGGAATAATGGTCCTGACTTCCTCGGGGCAAGGTAACTACATTCTTGATGGCGTGGGAATTTATTTTAAATATTTCGAGGTCAGTGCCGCCGATCCTGTGCTTCGCTCTCCCCGGCGTAAACAAGTGGGGGTCAGGCTAGGAAACATATGAGGGGAGGAGGAGGAGGAGGAGGAGAAAACGGATGAGAAAGGACAGAACGAGAAGAAGAAATAGGAGTAGGAGAAAGTGAAGAAGATGGAGAGATAGGAGAGGGAGAAAGAGGAGAAGAGGAAAAGAGAGGAGGAGGAGGAGGAGAAAGAGGAAGAGAAATAGGAGGAGGAGGAAGGAAAAAAGGAGGAAGAAATAGAAGAAGAGGAGGAGGAGGAGAAAGAAGAAAAGCGAGGAGGAGGAGAAGGGAAATGTCGTGTTGTGAAGCCATTTTAGGTCCACACACACAAAATGCGGAGATGTGACGTAATCATAACCATCAACTGACCATAAATATCCACGGAAGTGAGAAGGATATTTCGCCTCGTGTTCACCAAGCGATACATATACATATTTACAATCCTCGAAGGCTAAGAGGAGAGCGAGAGAACAGGGCAATAATGATAGGGAGGGGAGGGGAAGAGGGAGGGGAAGGGGGAGGGGATAGGAGGGGAAGAGGCAGTCCAGGGGCATGTCGACCGCCGGGTACTCGCTCCGTGGCAGGGCACCAGTGGTCAGTGCCCGCGCACGAATGCTCAGCAGTACGTCAACCTCGTCCATTACATTGCAGGGAATGAGGGACAGAGAGTCTGAGAGACTGAGAGGATAAGGGACTAAGAGACTAAGGGACTAAGGGCCTAATCGACCTGCCAAGGGGACACTTACTTCCTTGGCGTGACTTACGGCGCACATGTACCAGAGGCCCTACAAGTGTCTCCATTTTGAGGAGAAACTGGAGAAACCTTGTAAGAATCAGTGCAGGAATCTGTGCTACTACAAGCATCTATGTCACACTCCCGTAGATAAACGCCTCTAAACACGTAAAAGCTAACTTTAGGAAGCCAGATGGCAACTGGAAGCACGTAATGTGTGTGTATGGGTGTCTGCACACACACACACACACACACACACACACACACACATATAGGTTGAATATACATACATACATTCATCATACATACTTGTGCACATGTATATCTATATCTACGTACAAAAAAGGTAGACAGACCGATCGATAGCTAGAAAAAAACAGACATACCCAATGACACACATACAGACACATACATATACATCAATATAAACCGACACAAACCAAATGGACTGACAGCAGTGACCCTTTCCCAAGCAGCAGACTTACAGCTAACCTTCCCCCCCCCCCCCCCCCCCCCCCCCAAGAGCCGACCTCCACCCCATTCCCAGCCTCCAGTGCCAGTGCCCGCATACACAGGAATATGGTAATGCATAATGATTCATCCAAAGGGGGGGGGGGCAGTAACGAGATCGATAACACCTGCCCATTGTAGTGAGTCACGTGCGGCTTAGGAACCACCGATGACGTCACACGAGGCACTGTCCTCGATGCAATTGCGTTAATTTGCTCAGTCAACCGTGAGCCGCTTTTCCTTTCCTCAAAAAATGAGTTTATTCACTGAAGCACACGCCATGAAACGCATAAACGCTCGCTCTGAATGACGGGACCGCGTTATGGTGAATAAACCCAGGCGACGGCGAGGTCACGAATGCAGCCCAATGAAAAGATTTTCCCCCTAATGATAATGGCTCTCAAATCCAATCATCATCATCAGATCACCGGCAACAACCAACACCCAATGTGTCTTGCAGCGAACATATGGTGACTTCCTTCCTTCCCTCACCCCCTCCCTCCCCAGCCCTACCAGCATGATAAATGGCGTAAACACTCGCAATTCTCCGGTGAAAATGGCAAAGGCGCGAGAAATTAGGAGATTAGGATCCCATACAATGTCCCTTCCTTACCGGGGAATAATCAGAATTAAATCCGTGAATCGTCCATGCCCACGTATGCCCATATGGGAACGCCCCATGACTAGCACTTGCCCCGTTATATACAAGAATAAAAGCAACATTGAAGTGCCGTTATACTATGACTATTTATACAGTCAAATATTCCCCCCCAAAATAGCCTTCAGTGCCACCGAATGACCGCAGGCCCAAGCTTTGATAACCCACAAAGCGAAAAACTTTCTTCAATTAGAAAGCTCCCCGAGTGATACGCGCGCTGGAAACCGGCCAACTCGCACGCGAAACCGAGCCTCCGCGCACAAGCTGAATTAATGACGATAATCCGGGGAGGGAAAAACGGAAACCGGGGAGGGATAACGAAGGATAAGGAAGGATCAGACTCCAAAGGGGTGGGGGGTGAGGAACTGAAGGGGGAGAGAAGAGATGCCAGGGATGCCCCCCCAGGCGCGCCCATTGCTTTCGGTACCAAGCTGGCACTGACAAATGATCAGTCTTTCTCCCTGCGACGGCTGGAAGTGGGCCAATTTCTCATAGCACAAGAATGAGAGCATTGTTTACCATTATCCTCGTGCACGGAGGGGTTACACGCTCTATAGAAATGATAACTGTGTTAGAGGGAAATCTCACTGCATAAAATAAAAAGTTGGTAGAGGAATGTAACCGAGCTACGGAGAAAATCCTGTCGATAGTGCTGGGAAACTGGAGTGAGGAGGATGCTACATGAAGGAATTCTGTATCTCGGTGGAGACGAAACGCTGCAGAATACCCACGTACCTGGAAACCATTGAATACACATGCAAAAAAAAAAAGTAGGCGGGTACACACACACACACACAAATAAAACACCACAGCACATGTCACTGAATCACACTTCCACGTACACTTCAAACTCATCACCACCGCTCGCAAGACGCCGTTAGCTCCTCGAAGACACACACACACATACACACGCGCGTAGTCCAGGTACACAAACAGCCCCACCAACTCCGCGCACCTGAGACACTCCGATTCACGAATAAGAAAAAAAAAATAACCACTGCTTTTCACTCACCCTCGACACTTGAAACACTGCCGTGCGCTTGCCAACTTTATCTGTCTTCATCTTGGCTCTTATCACGGGATCACACTGCACATAAACACGAATCCATGGTTCGATAGCGAGGGAAACACATATAGGCTAGCGACACTCACACTCCTCCCACAGGTAAAGTCAGAGGTGTACTGAGGCGTCAAGCGGCTAAGGTGAGGTTTCGCCCTGAGCCGCGCGGGGGTTGCCAGGGGTCGGCAGCGCTCGGCGTTATCGGTTCACGAAGAAATTCATTATATCAAATTATTTATTTATGGCGTATTTATTTTGAACGTGAAAGCTTGTGTGTGCGACGCATTAATGCTCAGTTTACCTCATAAATGCCGACGTCGGAAGTATATGATGAAAGCTTGCGAGCCACCGTAAAACTTTCTTAACAATTTAATATCTCGAATAAATTATACTAAACCAGCTTTATTTGTCAAAACCTCATTCATTCATGACTGCATTCCACTAAACACGTGACTTATAACTGCAATACAACAACAAAGCGAAATTACAACTCCTCGAGGTAATATGAAGATAACCAACTTGCCAAGTGAAATATAGATCCTTACGATGAACAAATCACGAGAACACAGAGCCGTAGGGGAAGTAAATCGTGTAATTAAATCAGAAGATATATCAAAATATAAAAAAAACATCGACTTCTAATGCCCCGAGGCCTGGAATACACGCACGCACATACTCACGCACACACCAATCCATACGCATTGTCATTTTTGCGTCAAATTTAACTTTCGTGATGAAAATATGATAATTCGACATCTAAAAAAAAACATCAGTTACATACGCTACAATTTAAAGAAAGAAAAAAAGACATCCAAAAGAAACATCACATCACATCACATCACGAACGCTCACGAAACACGCTAACATTACTTTGCGTTACCTGTTGCCGGAGGACCAATCAGCCGTCAGTCAGCCCCGGAGGTGTGCGTACCACCTCCCCCCGCCGTACTACGCTCACAGCACGTATCTTACCGCGATCTTACACCTGTGCGTAGTAAACCTCTCCCCCGCCCCCTTCACACACACACACACACACACACACACACACACACACACACACACACACACACACACACACATACACACACACACACACACACACACACACAAGCGCGGCGTACCAATACTAGATATTCTGGGAAAGACTTCGATTATCAATATTCCACGTCTCTGAGGTTCGACGCTACATCCTCCTAGACACCGAAACGCGTGTGAGTTATGGGCATTGTTTGCACCGACTAGAATGAACTTGTGGCGCGTATGAATAAGAATTATATGAGATACAAAATCAAGTTCCGTTTGTTTCACAGCCATCTGACAGATACATAAGAAAAATTACTCTCTCCTTACATCCCCAGCCTCCCGAAATAAACCACGTCTAGGGATTAGTATAAGGCACCATAAACACGCAATAGGACACCACAGACACGCAACAGAACGCCGCACACGCACGCAATGCCCTCCGCTCGAAGAAAGGAGAGACCAGGACCCACCAAGACGGCGACCCTCTCCCAAGGCATCGTCCCAGGGCTCGCCAGACGCAATATCGATCCCCCCTAACAAGGCCAAGGTCCTGATCCCCGCCATTACCACGGAGACAGTTTGGTGACATAACCACCGGGGACAACAATCTGTCCTGGGCGTCCATGGGGCGGCTATGACCCCTGGGTGAGGGAGGGAGAGGAAGGGGAGGGGTGGGGGAAGGAAGTTGCCCAGCGCCCAACGAGCCATCACTCAAGTCTCCGGCCGGACCGATATTATGCTAGCCTGACGGTTATTGTCCCTCTGATGAATGTTATTATCCTCTATTAACAAACTTTTCCCATATACCTTAAACATTTCGTAAGACCGTACTCTGAGCGCTCTCGCATCTCTATGCATTCGCCGCATGCGTTCGAACAATAACCTGAGAATACATTTAATAAAAAAAACATCTTTTCTAAAAAAGAGATAAAAAAAAAAAAAAAAAAAAATCTGATCCACCAACGCGAACACGTCTTTAATCCACCAAACTCCGACCACTCACAGGACGCGCGAGAGACCCGACGCCGGCGCCGCTGACGAAACTAAGCTACGGACGGAATCCCCCCCCCACACACACACACACATTCCGGGCGCGAGCGGCATTCCGGCATCAGGGTCCTTCGGGGCGCCATGATATCAGCCTTCTTCAATAAACGTCCGAGCAAAATAAACAACCATTTTTGGGGAGCCTTGTCCGACCTTTCAAAGCCCCTGTCCCGGAGAGCCATTGACGGGAGCAGAACCCAGGTGTTTCGAGCCGGGAGAAAGGCGCGGCCGCTGGAGTGCTGGACTCGAGGCGCTGCCACTTCTCCCGCTTCTTCCGAGGAGGAGGAGGAGGAGGAGGAGGGGGGGGAGGGAGGAGGAGGAGGGGGAGGGGGGGAAGAGGGAGGAGGAGGAGGAGGAGGAGGAGGAGGAGAAGGGGGAAGAGGAGGAAGGGGGATGAGATGGAGGAGGAGTAGGGGGAAGAGGTGGTAGAGGAAACGGAAGGACACGACGACGAAGAGGAGGAGGAAGTAATTGGCGATGAGAGGGGATGGGGAGGATAATGGGATGAGGGAAGAGAAGGCTAGAGTGCGATAAAAGGAGGAGGAAGAGAAGGACGAGGAGGAGGGTGAGGTAATTGGCGGCGAGAGGGGAGGAGGATGATAATGGAAACGAAGGGGGAGGAGGAGGATAATGGGGATGAGGGGAAGGATGGGAAGAGATAAGAGGAGAGGAGGAAAAGGAGTAAAGAGGGAGATAAGGATGGGGAAATTGAAGAGACTGAGTGAATAAGTGAGTGAGTGAGAGAGAGTAGAGAGAGAGAGAGAGTAAAGAGATATATACCGACTCTATAACTTAACTATAATATAACAAATAACAAGAAAAACAATCCGAAAAAAATAAAACACGAAAACAATAAAAAAGCGAAATGGGAATAGGCGTGGGGGAGAGAATTAGAAAGCAGCGCACAAGAGCGGAAAGAGGGAGAGAGGGAAAATCAGTGACAAGCAAAGGAGAGGGACAAAGGCGAACATGAAAATACGAAGGGGCTGAACAAGCAGAAAATAACGGTAGAATTTTAGGAGAAAAGGGAAGAAGTGAAAGAGGAAGAAAAGAAGAGGGAAAGGGGGTGAGAAGAAAGAGAAATGAAGGAGAGGAGAAGAGGGAAGGAGGCGAGAAGAAAGAGAAAGGAAGGAGAGTAGAAAGAGAAAGGAGAGAGAAAATACAAGAAAGAGACGGGATGGAGAAAGCGAGAAAAAATACAGGAAAATATTTTAGTGAAATAAAAAAAGAAGTAATGAATAAAGAAGGAAAGATGAACGAAAATAGAAGACAAGCGAGAGGTGAAGAGAATATAAAAGAGGAAAGAATTAAAGGAAATAAATAAAGAAAAGAAAAGGAAACACCAGCAAAAGAAACTGAAAAACAAAGAGAAAGCAAAGCGATAAGAAGACAATTCAAAATACAAAACGGAATAATAACAGAAATAAAGACAGGAGAAACAAAAGAAAAAAAAAGAACACACGGACTACACAGAAAGAGAGAAACCTTAAAACGAAGAACAAACAACGGAAAGGAGGGAAAACAAACACGAAAGGAAGGAAACAAACAACGGAAATGTGACGGAAATGAGACGAGAGAAAATCGACGATGAAAGAGAGAGAGAGAGAGAGAGAGAGAGAGAGAGAGAGAGAGAGAGAGAGAGAGAGAGAGAGAGAGAGAGAGAGAGAAAGAGAGAGAAAGAGAGAGAAAGAGAGAGAAAGAGAGAGAAAGAGAGAGAGAGAGAGAGAGAGAGAGAGAGAGAGAGAGAGAGAGAGAGAAAGAGAGAGAGAGAGAGAGAGAGAGAGAAAGTAAGAAAGAAAGAAAGAGCGAAAGCACGCACACAGAAAACGAAGCATGGAGGTAGACGGCAAGAGCGGAGAAAGGAAAGGAGGAAAGAAGGAGGGGAGAGGGGGAGGGGGAGTGGAGGGGGAGGGGGGAGGGGTAAGGGAAAATAAAATGGAGAGAATCTGGGGCTTGGGGCATACGAGGGAGGGAGAGGGAGGGGGAAGGCAGGTAAGGGACACGGGGGGAGGAGGAGGAGGAGAGGAAGGCATGGCGGCATATGAGAGAAGGAAGGGGAGGGGAGAGGAAGGGAAGGTAAAGACACGAGATAGATAGATATAGAGATAGATAGAAAGGGGGGGAGAGAGAGAGAGAGAGAGAGAGAGAGAGAGAGAGAGAGAGAGAGAGAGAGAGAGAGGGAGGGAGGGAGAGGGGGAGAAAGAGAGACAGTGATAGAGATAGATAGATAGATAGATAGATAGAGAGAGAGAGGGAGGGAGAGGGGGAGAAAGAGAGACAGTGATAGAGATAGATAGATAGATAGAGAGAGAGAGAGAGAAGAAAGCAAGAAAGAGGAATGGTTATAAACGAGAGGGAGAAGACGGAGAGGGAAAAAAAGGAAAAGGAAGAGGAAGAATAAGAGGAAGAGGGATAGGGCAAGGGCAGGGGGCAAGAGGACAAGAGAGAGGGTGAGCACGAGATGCTATCAGTCTCCTCTTGAACGCAGGGTGTCCCTCCCTCCCCCTCCCTCCTTCACCCTCCCCCCCCATAGTTGATCGCCTCATATTGCTTGGTCATCGCGCTCACAAGCCGCTCCTCTTAACAAAAAAAAAAAAAAAAAAAAAAAAAGAAGAAGAAGAAAGAGAGAGAGAGAGGGAGGGAGAGGGGGAGAAAGAGAGACAGTGATAGAGATAGATAGATAGATAGATAGATAGATAGATATAGAGATATAGAGATATAGAGATAGATAGATAGATAGATAGATAGATAGATAGATAGATAGAGAGAGAGAGGGAGGGAGAGGGGGAGAAAGAGAGACAGTGATAGAGATAGATAGATATAGAGATAGATAGATATAGAGATAGATAGATAGATAGATAGATAGATAGATAGATAGATAGATAGATAGATAGATAGATAGATAGATAGATAGATAGATAGATAGATAGATAGATAAATATATAGATAGATAGATAGATAGATAGATAGATAGGGCACAGAGGACAAGAGAGAGGGTGAGCACGAGATGCTATCAGTCTCCTCTTGAAGCAGGGTG